ATATTTAAAAAATACAAGAATTTGCAATAGGCTTGAAAACCTTATATACACATAGTAAGCGTATTAATTTTAAGTGAAGTATTTTATACAATTTAAAAATAGATTAAGCATAAAAATTTTGATATGCAAAGTAAAATCTTTTTTAAAAATTATTGATGCAAACAAATATGATAAACAGCAAATTAACAATGAATCACTGGTTTATTTTGTAAACTTTTGTAGTACATGAAAAAATCAGCAAGTCACAAGCAAAACTTCCTCAATGACATCTGACAGTGCTGTGAACAGCATAACACCTTGTCAAGAAAAAAACCATACAAGTGGTTCAGACAACCTTCTTCCAAATATCTACTCCACTAAACAGAACAAAATTTAAGTATTTTATTATTCACAGTAAGATAATGCTAGTCTCTATGTGTACTTTAAATAAAGTTAATAATATTAATAATCATAGTCATCTGCAGCCTTCTATAATTATGCAATCACACTAATAAGTTACATATGCACATTATCCTCTTTCACATTCACAACAGGGTGAAATAAGCGTTATCAACACCATTTTATAGAAGACAGCACTGTGCTTCAGAGTGGTCAAGTAATTTGTCCAATGCCACCCTGATTATAAGGGGAGAACCACGGTTTAACTGCTGTGTGTCAGAATTCAGGGCCCATATCTTTTCCACCAACTGTGGTTAAATCTCAAAATAATTTTACAGATGAAAAAGATACCCATTTTCAGTTTGAAAATAGAAGTTTGGAGGTACAGAATAGAAAATAGAAGTTTGGACATGTTATTTAACATGTCCCAGACCACTGAGTCAATAAAGAGCTAGGGAGCTAAAAATGACAACCAGAGCTCAAAGTGAAAATGAAAACACCTTGAAATAGTAATAAGCTGTTTGTAAAGGAACAGATATTCTGACCATGTTGTAATGACATCTACTTAGATAAAATCACAGTTTTACACTGTTACAAGGGGATTTGTGTTTAGACTACACTCACAAACATGATAGCTCCCATATATAGACTTACTGAATCCCAACAATGTGTTGGGCACTATTAAAAGCATTAAAACACAAATCAAAGAGATGTGATAAAAAATAACTGCAGTAACAAAGGATAGCTGTGCTGGAGCCAAAAAAGAGTTAAAAACTTGGCAAGATCATAAACCTCACATTTTAAGAGGAAAAGAACTATGACAATATAAAGAAAATAAGAATAATTAAGAAAATATTAAATGTCAATATGAGAATTTTCCATGCTACTTTCTGCTTCTAACAAAATAACATATAATCCTTAGGAAATATAATGCCAAGTTTTTGTCCTAGATATATAAATATGACGTGAAAGACCAGATATGAGCAGCCACTCCACCTTGCCACCTGGAATTGATGGACACACATCATGCATGCATACTCAAGGTAGCCACATCTTCATTCACTGGGAACAGATGAAAATTTTTCCCCAATTAACAGAAATTATGATGGAAACTTTCACGGTTACACATCTTGGATGCTGTTGTTACAAAGGGCCATAAGGAGAGAGATTTCCAGCAGAAATGTGCATAGAAACTGTCAGGTTCAGGAAACCGTTGTGTTTTTAGTGTGGGTCCAGCCAGTTCCATGCAGTCGTGGTATCCTGCATTGTTTTTCCTGCTTTCACAGTGGCAATGAGAAAAAGCTGTGACTCAGGCATTCTCAAATATAGTAAATTTCACTAATGGAGGAGAATTTCCCAGCAGTATCCTGCCATGATTTTAAGGTGGCTAGGAAACTCTAAGAATTGCACAGAAAGAGGAGTGTGTTTACCTATAGCAGTATCTCCTGGCTGACTGGGCTCAGAAAGGGCAGCATAAGCAATATTATCTGACTTAGGCACAGGATTTCTTTCTGCAATTTACAGTGTGCACCTGAATATGTACGCGCCTAAACAACATCATTACACTGGTATGAGAGGTTTCCCAACACAAAAGTATGGATCATTCCTGGAACTCAGCAGTTACTTTTTCCCTTAAGTGTTGATTTCTTGCCACTAATATCTTTGGAGACACAAAAGCATTAATGAGATAGAGCATTTGATTGTATGAGGAAAGGCAAACTGGAGAAAGACCACCCTTGTTTCCAGTGGCAAGAATTAAAAGAAAATTAGCTTAGGAAACTGTTACAAAATTGGGCTCCCTTCAACTCTGACCAGATATCACACTTGGGCCACCTGCTGGGCCCAGTAGATGCAAACACAATTGGTGAAGCCTGTGCTCTGTGGAGCTACTCCAAGGGCAGCAGCCCATAGTCTAAGAAAATAGAAAGCCTCATCCAAGTTTTAACTAAGCAAATCGCCAAAATCCACAGCTTTTCCTGGCATCTCTGCTCTGGGCAGTGATAAGTATTTTCAGCTTAATAACATGCTGAATGATTACCACACTTTAATCTAAATGCCTTCAGAGGGTTCTGCATTTGATTTCTAGTTCCAAAATTCTTCAGTGACAGGCTTAACCAAAACCACACCCTTCAAATTCTATTTTTCCAGAACCATGAATTTGTCACTACTGTACTTTGTGGCTTCTTCATTTAATACTTTCTTGCTATAAATATATCCATTTAAAGCTAATGTTATGGCAGATAAATGGCTGGGAATGCTATCCAAACACACACATAACCACACATGGAAGAGTGATATTACCAGCATTCGTGCACTTCCCAGTATCATTTCACAGTCTGCCCCACACGACGCCTAACATCGACTGGCTGGTCTGTTGTGAATGGGGATGACATTATTTCCTGATCAGATTTAAAATCCTAATTTTATTTCTAGAGCAAAAGTTTGGATCATGCTACACATTTAAATAAAGGTAGGCAACAGTCATAATAATTGTTTCTATTATGTGCATATTACTATAAATGCAACTCTCAGTTCTATATTTGCAGATAACAATGAAGGCTTTCCATTTACTACCCACAGCTGAAGAAAACCTAAAATTCCAAGTGTTTATTTTACTTTTCCATAAGCTACTGCCAGGGTAGCAACAAAGTGACAGACATGATGAAATATGTAATAAGGTTTGCATATTACCATGTAACCCTGGTACAATACCTTCACTGTGATGGAAGGGACAAGGTCAGTTCCGACATCAGCATCAGTGGCTTGCTGTAGACACAGAATTGAGAAGCGAAGGGAGAAAAGAATGATTTCAATATTATCCACCAAGAAGTCAACCCAGTGTACAATGTACACTTCCCACTGTCAAGTAGGGAAATAACTATAAAGGATTTATCCCTAAAGACAAAATTAAGAGTCAATGTGTGTCATGTATCGAAACATAACAGTGAACCCCATTATAGTATACAAAGAATATGTGTTACCAATCACAGCAACTAAAATGAAATAAAAATATTTTATTAGTCACCAAAAAAGAGTCATTGTGGCTTTCTGGGTGCCTTTATGTGGAAAGTTATAAGTTAATCTTCAAAATTCCCAAGTCAAAAGGAAGACATTTTACCAATCCATTGTAATTCCCAATTTACTGAAACGTTAAAAGTATTAATTCTAATCATTTGTTCTTTACATTATGAGGGAGAAGCTCCCTCCTTGTATTTTCTAGTTAAACATTATGCAACTAGTTTAGGTGTTTGCATTTTTTCAACTCCAAAAAACTTCAGGTTAATTCAGATGAATAAGAAGAATCTAAGACATATAGTTAATGATACAGAGACTGAGTGGCTTTGCACCTACAAAATGAAAATGGGAGCACACTTTTTGTACCAGTGTATGTCATAAACTAATTCCATACCCTCTGTGTGAGCATCAGGTTGGATCACCTAATGTCAACTGCTACTTCTCATAGAACTCATACCACAATACGGCAAATATTCCTTATAACTTGGTACAGGAAGAGTGGTACATCAACAGGGAATGCTTGTCTCTTCTACAAAAGATGCCATTCTCAGATAAATTATATTTCTGTTTTGGAGATATATGCTTTCATAACAATGACTTAAAACAAAATATTAATCCAGGCTTTTTGCCCCATCAATATATTGCTAAAGCCCAGGAAATGTTTCACGTGGAGCTGCCACAGACCTAGAAGAGAAACCAACATCTCCTGTTTCCTGCTCTTTTCAGTACACGCCTAAACACCTAGACAGTAATTCTTTGGGAACATAAATGATAGATAGCCAGAGAGAAATGGCTGTAACAGGACATCATGGCACCACAACCACATAAATTGCTGGGTTAATGTTTTCCACTGGGATGAATATGATACTCTTTAAAAATCTCTCAAGGAAAGAATAGGAACACAGGGAAAATAAAGCTGGAAGGACACACCTAGTGTGGTGGATTGACAACTGGTCGTCAACTTGTAACACCCAGCTGAACTGAACTAGTGTGTTGCCGGGTGTTGGAGGCCCACCTGGGGATTGTTGCCAGCAGCATAAGAGGCAGAGGAAAACGTCATGAGGCTGTTGGGAGCTGGAAGAAGCTGTTAGGTGTTGTTAGAAGCTGTAAGGAGCTGTTGGCTCTCTTGGACGAGCTTTTCATGCTGGCTTTCCTGATGGGAAACTTAGCTTTCCTCATCATCATAGGAGCTCAGGATCTCACTGGCACTCAGGATGGCTGTGGTACTTTTCAAAGGATTCTTTCTTTGAGTATCACTTCCTGGCTCCAGTGCAGATCCCTCAGCCTGCTAACACAGATCCTTCATATCACTGGCATATCCTTTCTAGCTTCCACCACTGACCTTTGGGTCTTACCAGCACAGATCTGTGAAACAGGCCCCAGGAGACCTTGTCATGGTCTCTAGGCCTCCAGCTGGACTCATGGGAGGTATTGTCATGGGCTCTAGGTCTTTAGTTGGATTCATGCAGGGCATTTCCATGGAATACAGGCCCTCAGCTGGATTCTTTGGTCTTTAGTGTGTGGACAGATTTCCTGCACTCTCTTTTTATATGATTCTTTGGGTGACTATTATAAATAATCTTATAAAACATGTGTCCTGTATTAAATTGTTCTCCTTGCAAAACCCCCAAACATAACAAAATTGGTACTGGGGGTGGGGGGGTCATTGTTGTACTATTGCCTGCCATGTGACTTAAGAGCCTTTAGAATTCATCTGGAAAAGTTTTAAGAGACTGGCCAAAGAGGCAGCCCTTGTATGCTGTAAACTACACTGGAGATTCTGATTGGAGCCTGGAAAATCAGAGTACTTGTGGAAATGCTGCCTATTAAGTTGAAGCTCGAGAGGCCTCAATTAAAGAGGACTGCATTGGCTGCTGGATCTCAGATAGTATATTGTGCTTTGGCAGAAAGTTGGTCTGCATTTTGCTTGTGTTTAGAAATACTGCCTGGTTGGGAAAAGAAGAAATTCAATGCTGTCTATTGTTGGGATGGTGGCATGGTAACTGCTGAGAACTTTCTGCTGAATGTATGTTTGAAATTAAGAGTGAAAAGCCAACAGAGTGATATGAAATATTTGGCCAGAGGAGAGACTCTAGTGGAACTTTGGGCTTCAAGGATGAAATAGAGGAGAACGTAGTTGTTAAACAACAGGACAATGGAAAAATGAACTGAAGTCTTTCATCTGAAGATAAAAGTATATTTAAATTACAGGAGGCTCCTGTTTTGTTGTCTTGCCATGCATTATAAAAATTAATGGGAAGTATGGACTGTGATTGTAATAGTCCTTTAATATGTTTTTATGTTCTTTTTAGGTCTATATTTGTAATCAGGTTAATGAATCAAAGTATTGTGTTTTAATCTTAAATTTTGGTCATCCTTCAAATATTGGTGCAGAAATGACTTTTGGTGCAGAAATGACTTTTGGTGCAGAAATGACTGCAAAAAAAATTATACAGTTATAGTAAATCTAAATAGACCAGGACATGTTAACTTTCACAAATCTGCCACTAGAGAATATGGATTAAGGAAATATGTATGGTTATCCATTGACCAGGGGTGGATTGTGGTGGATTGACAACTGGTGGTCAATTTATAACACCCAGCTGAACTGAACCAGCATGGTGCTGGGTGTGGGAGGGCCAGATGAGGATTGTTGCAGGTAGCACAAGAGGCAGAACTACATAAGAAGAAGTTTTAAAGCTGTTGGGAGCTGGTAGAAGCTGTTGGGTGCTGTTAGAAGCTGTAAGGAGCTGTTGGTTTTCTTGGACGAGCTTGTCATGCTGGCTTTCCTGATGAACTTGTCTATTTTCATTGCCTGAGGAGCTCGGCACCTTGTTGTGGCTGAGAATGGCTTCCGTGCACTTTGGGCGAGCTCTGGTCCTTACTCTGAGCACTGCTTCCTGGATCCAGAAGGGAAGATGGTGTGCTTCTCAGTCTCCTGAAGAAGCTTGTCATGTTGGCTTTCCCGATTGGAACTCAGCTTTCTTCATCATCAGAGGAGCTCAGGAACTCACTGTTGCTGAGGATGGCTATGGTACTTTTCAAGGGAGCTCTGGTTCTAACTTTGAGCATTGCTTCCTGGCTCCAGTACAGATCCCTCAGCCTACTAGCAAAGATCCTTCATCTCACTGGTATAGACTCTCTAGCTTCCACCACTGACCTTGGGGCCTTACCAACATAGATCCGTGAAACAGGCCTGCAGGAGACCTTGTCATGGTCTCTAGGCCTCCAGCTGGACTTACGGGAGACACTGATATAGGCTCTAGGTCTTCAGTTGGATTCATGCAGGACATTTCCATGGGATCCAGGCCCTCAGCTGGATTCTTTTGGTCATTATAGTGTGTGGACAGATTTCCTGCACTCTCTTTTTATATGATTCTTTGTGTGACTATTATAAATAATCTTATAAAATATGTATCCTGTATTATATTGTTCCCCTTGCAAAAATCCCAAACCAACACACCTAGCTAAGAGAAACCAGCACACCAGGTTACCAGCAGGAAAATATACATTACAATATAGCACTTCCACATAAGGCCTTGTCCTAACAAGACCAAAATTTATCCTAAAAAACACAGAAAAGGAATTCCTCCAGCCTTTGCTTAAGAGAATCAAAAAGAAAAATTATATAAATTGCTCAAGAGGTGGGGGAAAAGACTCATTTTCACAGCAAGAAAATGGGTGTACAATTCTCAGCCGGCTAAGCAGAAACACTCCCCTCAGAAAGCTCCCTCAGGGAGCAGAAGAACTGGTGAGTGCTAAGGAGCAAGTCCAGAGCAGAGCTGCACTATGTGACCCAGCTGGATGATGTCTCTCTCATACAGAGGCCAACTTTTTCAAGTGTACTAGACTTACCACACTAAAATAATGGGAGCATGATCTTTATCACAATTTGGATGGTCTATCTGTACTGAGATTAATCTTTAAAGACTCATGATTACTTAAGTATGCTCTCATACTTAAATATCAGGGACATTTCCCAGGCAGATTTATATGATAGGAATCCTAAATATGGCAAAATAAGTGCAATAATCACTACCCTAACCTCATCGACCTTGAGCATAGACACAGATAAAGTTAATAAATTTTGCTCAAACCTCAGGCCAACTCGACAGACACAACCTAACAGCCAAACAAGTTCTCACGAAGACTGAACAATGAGATGCAGTTAAACCAAGAATAGTCCCTCCTCAACCTTCCTGTCTCGGTTTCATTCATTCACACAGTAAAAGGTACTTAGCTACCACTATGTGGTAAGCAGTAAGGACACAGAGGTGAACGAGACAAGTGTACGGTGTAGATCCTGGCAATGTGACAATGATGATTCTGGAGGATGTAAAAAGCAATTTAATGATGAAAATGACAATTATCGTAACAATTCAACAAAATATATTTTATTCTTACTCTCATTTTGCAGATGAGAATATTATTTTGGGTGGCATAGACAAAAATGAAGGGAGAAATAGTCCCTAGAGCAACTATTTGTACTTTTAAATTACTCTACCATGGTCGCTACAATGTATTTAAATCATAAATCATCGGTCCCTGCACTGGGCCACTTACAAACATTATTTCATTCAACCTCCTATATAATCCTGTGGGATGGGTGTTATTTATCTAGATTAGGATTAACTCAATGCTATGGTGCTGAGGAGTTTTCTTTTTTTTCAACAAGTAGACTCAGAACAAGGGCAAGAAGCTTTTCTATTGCTCCTTTCACTTCTTTTTTAAACAGAAATCCTGCCAAAAAGCTAATAAAAATGGAACTACATTTAACCCAGAAAGGCAGAGCCTCAAATTTGTTATCTTTCCCCAAGTTTCTACTAGGATGCCCAGAGTTTAAGCTAATACATTGTTATCCCAATTTCAAATATGCAAATATACCTACAGACACTGAATCCAAGCTTGGAGAAACCGCAGCAGAAACTTTTAAGTCATCTTCTCTCTCAGTCATTGGCCAAACACCTGCAATTTAAAAAACATACACAGGTATATATGTTGAATTATAAAGTAAAACCTGCTGTTTACATTTTATTTTTATTTAAATGTTTGTCTTTAACCTATAGCAACAAACAATCTCAGAAACACAAATTAAAAAAAATTAAGGTATTACAACTAGGCATAGTGGTGCATGCCTATAATACCAGCACTCAAGAGGCTGAGGCAGTAAGATCACCATGAGTTAAAGGCCAGCCTGAGCTACACATTGAGTTCAAAGCCTGAAATACACAGCAAGACCCTGTCTCAGAAAAAAAAGATGTATTACAGAATTAAAAGCTTGATGCTATCTCTCTCCACAATACTATAAAGAAAAATTATCTTTTTAAAAACATATTAATTAAGATTTGAGCCACTGACTCATCGGCATTGGTAATTATTTTTTTAAACTTTTTTAGGCCTTGGTAATTTTAACATTCTCTCCTTTACTATTAGTGAAAGCCCAAATTAGTACAACTCTTTTAAAGGTAAACTGCCTTTAACTATGAACATGTAAAATATACCTATCTTGTGATTTAATAATTCTACTTCCAAGAATTTATCCAACACTCATAGACATGCCCAAGGAGGTTCTCTGCTATTATTTTTTTAAATTAAAACAAATACTTGTATCTATTGAGAAATGGTAAAGTAAAATGATACATGTGTGAGAAACCAAGTTCATAAACCTGAATGTTTTGTAGAATACACAACTCTTTTAAGTTTTTATTACAAAAACTGACTCGTGTTAATTGATGGCTTTCACTGTGATGTTTCCATATTTGATTACACATATAAAATCTGAAAAAAAGTTTCCTGTAAGAAGTGGACCTAGCATCTGAGGTGGAAAGAGAGCCTCTTTTCATTGTCTATGCTGTCACTCCAATCTGAATCACCTTCACTATATGCATTGCTATAGTTTGGATATAGCCTGAGTCTTTCCCCACAGGTTCAGGGCTGGGAGCTTGATCCCCAGTGTGGTGCTGGTAAGGCCAGGGGAACTTAAAGAGCTTGGGCCAGGTGAGAGGTCCTCAAGTCACTAAAGGCACTGCCCTTCGAAGGATGATGGAGCTCTTGTGGGACACTGGTGAGCTCTTGCAAGAAGGAAGTCATTAAAAGGGCAGGACTACCCCCCAGGCCCACATTTCTCTCTCTCTTTGTGAACTCTCCCTCTACACACACCTCAGCCACTGTGATACCATACGCCTTGAGATCCTCAACAGAATTGAGCTGATGCTGGTGCCATGCCCTTCATCCTCCAGACCGGTGAGTTAAGTAAACCTTGATTCTTTATAAAGTACCAAGCTCTAAGCATTTAATTACAACAACAAAAAGACTAATCCACACATGCTATTTTCATAATTTTAAATATACTTTTGGTGCATAATGGGATATTATAAACAAGTATGTTACTTGATCATTGCTGTGACATCTGACGTGAAAAGCACGGAAGAAAAAAGGTTTATTTTGACTCACAATTTCAAGGGATTCAGTCCATGGATGGCTCTAAGGCAGAAATGTCACAGCAGAAATGTCAGTGCATGACAACAGGGGACAACTGCTCACCTCTTGAGAGCCAGGAAGCAGAGAAATGGTTGAGAGAAGCAGACAAGTGGGAACAAATATTGTTCCCAAAGTCACACCCCCTCATCAGCTCTTTCCAATGAAGCCCCAGCTCCTCTTTCCATCATTCCCTGTCTCAACGTTGGGTAGATTAATCCATTAATGAAGTTACAGCCCTCAGGGCCCATCACTTCTCTGATCCCTGCTTCATTAGAGATCAAGCCCTGGCTCCATGAGTCTTTGGGGACACTATATTTAAACCATAACAACAAATAACAGAGATCCTAAATAAATAACATAATTTATATTGATGCACATATATGTGTGTATGTATACATGCATATGTGTACAGACCTACATCAGATAACTGGCTGCCTACATAACATCCATTCTTTCTTCCTTCCTCATTATGGCAGAGTCCTAATTTTGTTGCAGTACTCAACTCCATTTCAGAGAAAACCACCTCTTCCAGCCTCTAGGGTCATTCCATTTCACTGACATTAGAGGTTTTTGGCATGCACATGAGTATTAGTCCTGATAAAGCAGAGGTAAAGAAGTTGGGAGGGACAGCACTGGCACAGCTTCTGGGAAAGTGGTTCCTCCCTACTTAGAGGGAGACTTGGGGAAAACAGCCTTCTTTCCAGAAATCATATCTGCATTCTAAACCTGGAACTGCTTAGGTCACCTTGTGACCCTAAGAGGAAACATAAAAACACTGAAAATAGATAACTAAAATGGATGATGTCATATAAATAAGATGTTATTTACTTTTTTGTCATTGCTGAGACAAAATACTTGACACCCAAAGGTAAAGGGGAAAGGTTTACTTAGCTCACAGTTTGTAGAGGTTTCAGTTCATAATTGGCTGACTCCAAGGCATAGTAGTACACAGCAGCAGGGAACCATTCATGGTGGGACAAGACAGCAAAAGCAACAAGGGAGAGAATTTTTCATGGTGGCCAGAAGCTAGCAAAGCAACAAGAGAACTTACAAGCATATTTCTGCCCCTTTTATACTCCATCTAGGCTACCAGGATTAGGGCAACAGCAAACCAATCAGTAAACTGACTTGGTAATCACCCATTCTTGTTCCTAGCATTCTACCATGAATCAATCACATACTCCAGATCCAGTCACCTCTGAATAAGCTCCATCTATGACCACATGAGGCTTTGGGGGGACATCTAGACACAGCCATAACATTTAGACCCTGGCCCCCGCTCCAAAGACTTATGTATATCCCTTTATGCAAACAGCACTTAGTCCATCTCCAAGAGTTGCCAAAGTCCTATCAGTTTCACCAATGCTGAAAAGTTCGACTCCAAAGTTTCCTCAGAAACAAGGTAAACTCTTAGCTGCAAGCCCCTTTGCAAATAAAAAGGAAATTAAAACATTTCCAACATACAATGGCACAAGATAAACATTATTATTCAAAAAGATACAGGACCAAAGCAAGCTCAACATCAGGCAGGGAAAATATTAACTCCTGTAGTTCCATGTGCAGCATCCAAGGTAATCTATAGCTAGATGTAAATTCCAAAAAGTGATGGCACTGCTGGAGGTTGTAGCTCTCAATAGCTTCTCCTGGGGCCAGCTCTGCTCCCTCCTTATAGTTATCCTCAGACAATCTACATTCCTAGCTTTTCCAAACTTCTAGGATCTCCAATGCACCCTCTGCTTCACAAACACAGCTTCCCACAATCCCCCTTCAGCAGCACACTGCCTGGACTCCCAGGCCTTCTTCTGAAATCTGAGTGGAAGCCTTCCTGACCCCACAAATCTTGCATTCTGCATGTACCTAAAACCAGCACCACTAGTATGGTATCAATGTCTACCACCAACTAAAGCAGTAGCAAAGCTTTTTTTTCTCTTGGCTATAGGGGTCCAGTGGCAATGAACCAAATTTCCCCAGGTCCCCACCATTCTGAAACAGAGTGCTCTGGGGTTCTCTTCTCAAAGCAATCTTTTACTTTTGAGGCTGTAATACTGAGGCTGCAAAGAATGAGTCCTTCTGCTTCTTGTGATGCCCTCAGGCCATCTTATCTTTTCTCCTGTTCCTTCTCAGCAATCAAACTCTCTTCAATTCTGTCTTTGCAGTCCACAGCTTTACTGAAGCTTCCTTCCTAGCCAAAGTCAAAACATTTTAAATCATTCTCCCTGCCTCTTCGCTCTTGATTCTCAACATATATCTGGCTAAAACCCCCCAACAGCAGCCATGCAAAAGCTACATTAGACTACCTTGAAATTTCTTCTGCAAGATTATTAGTCCATTGCCCTTAATATTAGTCTCAGGAAAAGTCTCTGAACACAAGCAAAATGCAGGCAAACTTTCTCCCAAGCTATAACACAGATTATCTGGAGTCTAACAGGCAATAGAGTCCTTCTTCCCAGCAGAAACCTCCTGAGCCTGGTCTTTACCAGCAGGATTTCTATCAGCTTTCTAGTCTTCTGAGCTCTGACCAGAATCTCCCATATAGTACAGCCCAAGGTGTTCCAGCTCTACTTTTTCGTGGGCACCTTTCCTAATTCTTCCCCTTCCCATAAGCCAGCTCCAAAGGCTCCTGAGTCATATGGCCAGGTAGTGTCATAGCAACAACCACACTTCTCCAGTACCAAATTGTCATAGTTACTTTTCTCTCATTGCTGAGACAAAATACTCAATACCCAAATTTAAAAGGGGCAAGGTTTCTTTAGCTCACAGCTTCAAGAGGTTTCAGGCATAATTGGCTAGCTCTAAAGCAGGGTGGCACGTGGCAGATAGGCAACTGTTCATGGTGGTGGAACATAGCAAAAGCAACAAGAGAGAAATCTTTACATGGTGGCCAGAAGATGGCAAAGCAACAAGAGACCTTAATAGCATCTTTCTGCCCCTTTTATGCTCTATCTAGGCTACCTGGATTAGGCTGGTGCCAAAGCAATTGGTGGACCAATTTAGTAATCACTTATTCTTAATGCCAGTATTGCACCATGAGTCAACACATACTTTAGATCCAGCCGCCTCTGAAAAAATTCTACCTATCACCACAGGAGCTTCACAATCACAGCTTCTCACAATCTCCCTTCAGAAGCACACTGCCTGGCCTCCCAGGCCTTCTCCAGGCCAGCTTTGGGGGGGACATCTAAACACAAGCCACTACAGATGTGCTACCAGAAGAAACTATCCACAACTGCCACACCTTCCCACAAATACTTGGAAATTCTAAGTATAATAATAATACAAAAGGCTGCTCTTGCCCATATCATAACCATTAATTCTCTAATTATTTACTAAAAGAAGCACAATTTTATTCAGAGCAACAAAGTACTCAGCTAAAATACTTAATTTCCCAACCCACTTTTCCACTTGGACTGGCCACTGAGATGTGAATAGGAGCTGTTCAGGGTGCTGCTTCCAGGAAAGCTCAGTCAGGGGCTGACTCAGCTGCAGATGTGAGCACAGAAGTTCCAAAGCCAGCCTGGGCCAACAGCTGACCCTGGGATCCAGGAAATGGAATCCCAGATGACCGTGGAGCTGCCAAGCCAATCTTGGACTCCCTATCATGGGCTTCTTGTGCATTGGAGAGGAATGAACCTCTATGCTGTTTTAAGCTGCTAATTCAGGTATTCCATCTCATGAAGCCAGCCATAACCTTAAATGAAGAAGGTTACCAAGTTCCAAGGTTTCAGGACTTAGTGGAAACATCAATTTGGTCATACTGTCAGACAAATTTCAAATGGGGTACAGCCTCATGTACACACCCATGTCTCACTGTTCTCTCCCTCTTCCTGAAGACACAGCTGTGTGTGGTAAGTGTCTTAAATCATGCACCTAGTGCTTCCCACACAGCCCAGGTAGCGAATGCAATCAGTTGTCCAAATTGTAAGGAAGCTCTATCTCTAAAAGTTCTTAATACTGGATACTGTTGACTACCACTGACAAAAATGATAGGGTTCATACTAATGAGCTAAATATGAAAAGCTTCAGAATCCATAAGCCATACAAAAATTATTGCTGTAATTTCATGCTTACAACACACATTCCTAATATAACTTATACACATAAAGTCAGCTTCAAAACACTTTTATTACTGTAGATAATATACACCATGTGTACAAGAGAATGTACTCTTTAAATTGACTTTAAATTGTGCAGCAATTCCTCCTTTGAAAGGGTTTTAAAAAGCTTGTTAAATACAGAACATAATCCACAAGACTGTCAACTTTTCTTACAAGTTAAAGCCACCATACTAAAATAACTAAAATAAGTGACATTCTAATGAGTGAAGTCATCAAAAATTTTGGAGTTTTAACTTCTCATAATCTGTAAAAAAAAGTTTTGTGCTTTCATATATAAATACAGGTATTTTAATAAATAATACTAAAGATTTATAAGAGTATAGAATACTAAGTTGTTTTCCAGATCCAGAAATAAAATACTTTATAAGCTTTTCTCTTTAAAAAATTTCTCTTTTAGGAATAAAACCAAATGGTGGTAGCATAAAAAAAACAATACCAAAATTAACTAAAGTTTGAGGAAATATAAATAATGAACTTTGCACTCAAGTATGTGGGCACATTCTGGGTTTAACTAGCAGTTGTACTGAGCTACACAAAAGGACTAAGGTCCTGAAAAGTAAAACAGACTAAACCTTCTCACTCCTGGGCATCATTACGATGGCCAAGAAAAAACCTTTTAGCTGTATGGCCTTTTTGAAGAAATTTCACACACAGTTAATGTTAATCAAAGCACCATTATCAGGAGCTAGCAATGGAGCTCAGTGGTACAGCATTGGCCTAGCATGGAAGAAACCCTAGGTTCAATCCCCAGTGCTGAAAAGAAAATACCATTAGCACAACGCTCATGGAAAGGGCAAAACTTCAAGATACAAACTTTAGAGTGAAAACCACATTATTTAACAAACCCTTCAAACTTCATGCTTCATATATGTGCCACTCTTTCTCAGTTACACTTTTAAATGATAAAATGAGGCTTATATTTCTATTAATCCCAAAAATAATGGTAGCATGAACCAAAAATAATTTGTATATTACGGTATGACAGATCCAATTTTAACCATTCTTTATCTGACATGAGGGTGCTGAAAACAAATAGGTTTTTAAGTACTGGAGGTGGTTTAAAGGCCTGAGTTTCATTGGTTCACTTTTAAAATGTCTAAAAGAACGTGTGAAGCCAAAGCATAACAACTCCATTTTTAATATTCATATTTTAAAAATATGTCATCTCAGTTCCTTAGAACCAGAGAACTATAATCTTGTAACAGACTCAAAAATACATAAATCTAGGAAAGTGACTGGATCAGGATTAAGACTGTTTTGGTTGGCTTTTGATGCTCAGTTTCTTTTATTATTCCTACTTACTTTAACATTTCTTTTATGTCAAAGTAGTCCATATTTTTTCTCATTTAAAAAATACTTTTACCTGACCCGAAAAGAGAACTTTAAGTAATGCTTTTCATATGTTCAACTCAAACTACAGGATTGGTGTTTTGTTTCTCCTTTTAATTTACAATAAAATTATACCCTTGTGATTCTCAAAGTAAGATAATATTGAGTTATACAAAACTCAGGAACTGAAAATATCATCAGTCTCTGAATCATTACAACCAACATATCACAGGCTACACGCCATTTGGAGGGCTAATTAACTTGAAACATAAATTACATTGCTAAGCTACAAACTACTACATTTTTAGTAGCAAAGTGGTAACTCGTGTTGTTTTGATTTCTTTTAAAAGAGGCAAGTAAATGTTTTCAGGCATATTAGAAGTTAATAAATGACCACTCTAAACTTTAATGCTTCTTCATTGTCAAAACCACTACCCAAAGAAATACTTTTTTTCTTAGAGTTAAAGAGTAAAATCGGACAGGGCCATCCCTGAAACACAGAAGCATGTTTCAAATATGTTTTTCAGAAGCCATATATAGGAAGCACAAAGACTAAACAACACCGTTTCTGCAACATGACTTGAATGAAGCCTGGGGGAGAATATGAGTTAATGAGTGCACAACCTTCCCTACATACAAGACAATGTGAACTTCACAATGAACACTAAAATTAAATAATAAAAATCTGCAGATGCAGTACCTTGTGATTTAACATCTTTGATGATTTTCTGAAGCTCTTTTAGCTCTGCATCAAGTTCTTCATAGTTTAGTTCTCTAGATTCGATTTTCGGAGCCTGGAACAGGGAAGGGTCTGTCCCCAGGTAGGAGCACTGCAAGTGGCCATCATCACTGAGAGTCACTATGACTCCCTTTAAGTCACTACAGCAAGGGAGAGAAAAGGAGGGCTGATTAGAAGTCTCAGTGGAGTAAGTCCTGCCAAACTACATTTTTACTCAATCCAGCTTTAACATACCCGTAAGAAAATGACTATGTATGTATTTTTAAAGTTTTACTACAAAGCCACAATTCAAACATTTCAAACACCATTTATAAGTTCCCCAATGTTAAGATCCCTTACAAAAGGGGCAAATCCTTAAAAATTATGTTAACAGCAGCACTTGGGCTGTGACTATAGGGCAAACTCTGCTCTACAGGCTACTGACCCTCACCATGCTGCCATGCAGTGTGGTCCATGGAGGGAGCTCATGGGGACCATGGGGAAGCTAGGGGTGAACTCAGGATGACCCAGGGACAGAACAAGGCTGGAGGCTGGAGACGCCATGGGAGGCCTTGAAAGAAAAATGTGCACACTTCTCTGCTCCCATCCTTTCCCCTCTTCACCCTTGGGCCCAATGCAGGTTCCAGGCCTGCTCCCTTCACTCTCACACCCTGCAGGCCTCGCGTTTGTCCTCTCTGCTGCCCTCCTCTTGCATGGAAACAGCCTGCGGTCCTGCTTAGTAGCTGTTTCTCCACCACTCTTCACTCCTGGTCACCTCTGTCCCTCCCCATCTGCTATGGCTGGAATGTGGCCCCCCAAAGCCTGGGGAAGCGAATCCCAATGCAGCAGGGTTACAATGGGACCTCTGGAGTGACGAGTGAGCTGCCCAAGCTCCACCTGGTGAGCGGACTAACACTGGTTATCAGAGCCCTGGGGCTGCACTCTCGCCTTCCTATGTGCATCACATACAGCACAGCAAGAAGCCCCTCAGCACACGTGGACCCTCGATCTTGAGCTCTGCAGCCCCCCAGACCCTCAGCCAAATAACTCTCTTTGCTTTATAAATTACCCAGGTTCTGGTGTTGTGTTATAAAAACACAAAACGGCCTAAGATACCATCCTTTCCTCTTCTCTTACACTCGCTAGCCTCTATTTTACTACTATATTCATAATATAGCGACTGCGGGTAACTTTAACAGGTCATTTTTAAAAATAAAACTTGCCACATTCTTCTGAACTTACTATAGGAAACAAGTAAGAGGAATACTGTCTTTGCTTCTTCCTTAACTTTCACAGGAAAAAAATCAACCTTACAATAAGTTATTTTGAGTTGATGAAGGACTTAGTTTCAGTTACATTTTCTACAGTAGCCATTGATTAAAAAAAAAAAAAAAAAGAAATATTCCAAAACTGTTCTAAAGGTTAACTATTAATCAAACATAATAGACAGTATTTGTGAGATAAAAGATGAAAATGCTGCTGAAGCAGTGAATGGAACAGAAGACAGACAGCAGTTAAGAGATGGAGCCTGGGCTTATTCTGCATAAATACAAAGTCTAAACTCCCAACTCTCGATCACTACAAATGGCTATCTCATTAATGTAGAAGCTCAACTGGGTTAACTGTGGCTCCATCCTTCCTGTAAGGACCACCAATGCCCACTTCACTGCCCGCCTTAAACACAGCATTCCTGTGTACACCTTTTCCAGGGCCCAGTACAGTCAGTGCCAGACAGCCCCATGATGTGGCCTCAGAATGAAAACAAATACTTGTCATTTACACAGCAGGTAGAGAACTAGACTAGGAGTCGACTTGGAAAAGTCTTCTAAATGTTAGTTCTAAAATAAGAGAGTGGGGTTAGATGAACTCCCCAAAATCTTTACCTTGTATGAACTGTCCTGTCATCTACTTCAGAAAATGAAATTATTTTCCTAAAATAGTGAACAGCAACCCTCACTGCACCTATATGCCCCCAGCCTTACTTTCAAAGCTACTGAAGCCACCTAGTGGCCAAGGAAGTTTTAACTGCAGCTCTTGGAGCCCAGATCCTCCCTGGAGCAGTCACTGAGTCTCCTTCCAGCCATCCAGCCCCAACCAAGGTCCAGGGATTAGAGCTCTGGAAGCTCTCGGATTCCCACCGAGTTCTCAGGCAAGCATCCAACCAGTGTTGTCCCCTCATCCCATTTTTCTAATATTTTAAATAATAATAGCATTTAAAGGAGGTTTTTTTTTTTTTTTTTAAACCATACCTCCCTGTGTAAGCAAGGTATTGTCTCACTAGTGTAAGAACCTCAAAGAGTGAATAAAAATTAGAAGGTATAACAGACACTGTGAAATGAAAGGAAAATGCTCAAAAGTAAAGAGCAACTGGGGTGAGGGAAAAGAAAAAAGAAAGAAGAGGAAATTATGCATGTATGTATATACAGGATAGCTAACAGTTGTACTGACTTCTATCACTTTACTGAAAGGAACAGTTAATGATTAATTATTTGATCAACCTTGCATGTCTCTATTTGCTTTCCTGAGAAACCACTTGGAAGATACCACTACGTAATACAACAACCACTGTTAATTTCCTACCACTTTGTCTGTAACTCTCTATTGCTTGTATTGTTCTTATGCTGTTTTGTAAATGGATGTCTGTTTGTTAATATGTTTTCCTTCTTTTATTTTTAAAATAAATTAACAAAATAAAGGAAGTTTTATGAATTATATACGCGAACTATAATACGTATTTGATATGTGGCCCAAGACAATTCTTCTCACACACACACACACACACACACACACACACACGGTGGGGGTCAGCTTGGACATGTTATTAGAATGTTTACAATGTTAAAGGCCAGGTCTTTGGCTTCTCAGAGAAAGGAGAAGTCACCTATTCTTCAAATTCAAACAGCCACTTCCATGTCATACTCACCTTTAGGGTGGTCCATAAACTAGGAAAGCCAGCATAAACCCATGCAAGTATCTCTCCACACAGAAATCTATTTAGTCTTTAAATTGGATAGTTTACTATTAATCAATTTCATTCCATTGTTTTATAAAATAAATAGCTGTTAGTTGAAATAGAAAGGATTTATCTTAAAAAATTTATCAGAACCTATTATGTTTTGGAATTCCAATTAGAAGACTTTGGGAAATGGGGGATATACATACTGCTTCAGACTCTGACAAAGCACTCTTTATTGGTGTTGGAGACATCCAAACAAGAAAGAAAGAAGCTGAGGTTTTCTCCATTTAAAGAGCTTACCAAATGTCACCAAAATTTCTGGACAATGAAAGTAATTACAGAACTTAAACAATTTACTTTTTTCTTATTATTGGCATCAGAACACCTTCATGTAATTTAGATCAACTAACAAAAATTTAAACTGTAGATGAATTCATTTAACATTACAATTTTACTTCACAGAAACACTGAGACAAGATTTAAAAACTAGAATCACTGAAATTTGTCCAGAACATCTAATATGGACACAGACTTTGACTCAAGCCTCTAGAACTACTAAATAAATATATACTATTATCATTTAGTGACTTTAGGTGAAGGAAGAATTATAGATATAAATATAGATACATAGATATACTGTATCTCCTAAAGTTATGTGGAATTTACATACAAAGAGGAAAAGTACACAGCAAATCAAGAGTTTTAAAAATTATTTCTACTTAGCAAACACTTTATTTAACAATATCATCCATATATAAGTAAATGGTCACAACTAGAGACCATACTCGTAAGTGAAATAAATCAGACCTGCATGTGCAAGCACCACACTGTTTCACTCGTGTAAAACCTGAAAGAGTTAATTTAAACTAGGAGATATGATAGACATTGTGAAATGATAGGAAAACTCTCAAGGGTAAAGGGCAACTGGGATGTGGGAAAAGAGAAGGGAAAGAAAGAGAAATTTTGTATGTATGTATATACAGGATAGTTAACATAGTTGTTCTACTGTCTTCTATTTCTTTGCTGCAAGAAACTGTCAATGAGTCCTTGATTGATCAATATTGCATGTCTCTATCTGTTTTCATGAAAAACCACTTTGAAGATATCAATATGTAATACAACAAGCATTGTTAATTTCCTACCACTTTGTTTGTAATTCTGTATTGTCTGTACTGTTCTTTTACTATTTTGTAAAATGTTGTCTATTAATGTTTTCCTCCTTTTATTTTTAAAATAAAAAAAAATCATCCATGTACGTTGATAGATAAGAGCCTCAGAATGATAGAATTTAATTGAAAGGAGCCACCAGTTAAATCCAGCGTTGTGTAACCTGTTGCTTCCAATAGAAAAGCAGAACTAGCATTGACTAAACCAAGGTCTCTGCAGTACTTGTCGTGCTTGAAACACACTGGTTAACAGACAACAGGATAATATACTTTTCAAAGAATCAAGGTCAAAGATGTTATGTTCTAGTACACATAATTATTTTGTAACTGTAGCAATGAGACATGAAATTAATATAGTTTAGCTCAGTAGTCTGAAATAATCATCTCATCTTTCAGTAAACAGATCCCTGCCTTAACAATATATTCAAACAAAGTTCTAGATGGATACTAAAGTTAAATTTTAAAATATGAAACTATGAAAATATTTATCTTCCTTTGGGATGGGAAGAACTTTAGCTGCAAGAAAGCAACAGAAGACACTACAAAGGAAAGGCATTCTAAAGGGAACCACATAAAAATCTTCAACTTATCATTTGCCTATAAAAACAGCAGTAAGCAACAAAAGACTAACTTGGAAAATACTGATAATGAATAAAATAAATAAATCATTGTAACTGAACCATATGAAGTTGTTGAAATGTGTTTTTGACCTATAAAAACAATTTTACACTCAGAAACTAATATATAAGAAATGCTTTCAAATCAGTAAAAATTTTAAATCCCAACAGAAAACATCACATGATACAAACAGAAAATTCACACATAACTAATAGTCAAAATAAATGAAAAATTTTCAAAATCAAAGAAAGGCATACTTTTAAATTATTTTTAAAAGCTATACTTGACTAACACTACAAGCTAGCAAAATAAAATATATTGAGTCACGCTGTCAGCAAACTGTAGACGGAGACTGACAAACTTTTGTTAGAACTGCAACTTTGTTACAGTCCTTTTAAAGAACATTTTAGAAATATCTGAA